CATCAATATTTCTCACTTCAACTGTTGCACTAAGGTAACATGACCTGGTCATGATGTTACTGGCATTGTAAAACTTTCTAATGATGTCTTTTAGATCCATGTTGGAGTACATAAGTAGCAAAATTTATGGGAAATTATTACAAAGGCGTTAAGATACATCTTTCTACCTTATAGATGTAGCTGGCATTTGAAAAAATTTTAGAGAAGGCGGCTCATCAGCATCATATCCAAGCTCACTTACACACCTATTCCAGCAGCCTTATGCATTAGTAATATCAGGTGTTATATCAAGAAATTATCTTGGTTTACAGACATTTTATAGGCACCTTGATTTTTTGTTTGTTTTTTTTTGGTGGTGGCTTTTTTTTTTTTCCTAGTGCAAGAAATCTCAACAGTTCATACTTGATAGGCTGTTCATAAATTATACCCTACTGCTGTTTGCAGGTTGGAACTTCTTCCCACACCAATTTCATTTTATCATCAGACTGTTTAATTCTGCACTTATAGAAATGTCATCCTAGTCATAAGTGAAGAATTAGACAGTATTGTCTTAAGGCTTTCTGCACAAACTGTGACAAGATGCAAATACTGTGATACTAATATGCCAGTAGAGTACATGAATTGAAGGATCAGGCCAACACATATACTCCATAAAGAGCTACGTCTTGCTGTTTTCCAAATGCAATAAAATCATGAAGTGATATAAATTAGTAATACATTACCTATACTATATTACAGTATTCACACTGTTACCTCTTGATAACACAGCCTTGAATATATTAACATATTGATAATATGAGTACACTAAAAATTATTTTTGAGCAAAAGCAGTATTAGTCTCTATATCATCGCCCAAAATAAAATTCTGACAATATGGAAGAAGCTATCAGGAGATTCTAACCCCTCTGCATGTTGTCCTTTACACAGTCTTTCTAAAAGGCACTGAATTTCCCCCTAGGACACACAATAAAGTTCTGTGAGAAGCTCTTACAAATATCCCCAGATATTTTATCCCACATACTGAATGATACATGAAAAATATCTCCATATGGAATCAGAGGAACACAGTTTAATCACAGACAACACTGGAATACTCATACTGGTTATTGTACCTTAATTTGTACAATAATTTGTAAGTTAAATACGTTAAGCCTATGTCACTTGTATAGTTCATGGCATTACTGCTGATGTATAAAATATTCTGTTCTATATAGATGATAAAAAATGTGTATTTAAAACGTATATAGAATACTAACACGCTAAACAGATGGAATTGTGTTTTTAACTTCTCTAGAAAGTACAGAAATGCAGTAACTAACAGCATTTGTGTAAATGAAAATAAATCTCATGAAAATCTGAATGGATTTTCTTTTGTTAGACAGAAGTTTGTGCTTGGCATACAGCCATACATTATAGCCAATGGCTGTGTTTTGCTGACATAGCCTGTCAATAGCTATGTCTCAGCTGTTAAAAAACACTAAGTCAAATGTATAAACTCAATACTAGTTCAAGGGTTTCTACATAGATTCCAATAAATAGGAGTGACAAAAAGAAAAGAAATTGATGAATATCAGTACAAGAAACACTATTTCCCCAGAAGTATTTCTGTCAAAAAAACAAACAAACAAATTAAAGTGCAAGTTAATTGTAGTACTGATCCTTCATGTAAGGCCTGCAAACTGACAGAATCAGACACCTATGGCTGCTTACGTCCAAAGAGACTCTGTGGGACTTCATTTGTCTTTAAACACTCAGCTGTGTAGATTAGACTGCAAACTGGAGGTTTGAATCTGTTTCACCATAAATGATGCTGGTCTGAAAGGCACCTCTCATTAAAATGCCAGGTAAAGGCAAAAAAAAGTACTTATTTTAAATAAAACACATTTATTTCTGTTAGATCCACTTAAGAGTCTTCAAAATAAAATATATTCCCAATAGCATTTACTTTTTGATACTTGTCCCATTCATTTAATGTACAGGACATTATTAAGTTTGGACAAGAAAGTTGGACACTTTGGTTTCAAGTTCAGGGTAACAGCAGTATGTTTATTTATCAAAGTCATTACATTAACAACACTACTTCTTATTTAAGTTTTATTACTTCACAAAGAAAAATGTATCTTAGAGCCAAAAGTAAATCAAACTTCAACCTAAGTTACGCTAAACCTTTAAAAAGGTTTGGATAGATTAAGGCCCACTCTATCAAGCTACTCCATACAGACAGGTCTCCATTTGTAGTATTTACAACAGGACACATAGCGGTCCTCACAAGAGAACGACTCTACAAAGATCCTAGTCACAAAAAGCATCACAGATCTCTAGCAGCAGATATGGAAGCCAATCCCACTCTGCTTTTCCCCTAAATACTAAAATGCAACAAACCCTTCCTTCCCCATGAGTAGATCCGAAAATATTTTACCTAAATCCATACACTAACAACCCATATCCTAAACGTCACTATTTGCAAATTTACTTTATCAAGCCTGTGGTGCAAAGAACCCATCTAGAAGTGAGATATACCCTTTCAGATGTACCATCACCATTATTTCACTGCAGTAATATATTCTTAGTATTCTTAAAGTTCAACTCTAGCATTACTTCCAACCTCAATGGTTTTACAATGCCAAATGTCTCCAGGACATGCTCCACAGACCTTTAAATCCTCATACAAATAAACTTGTATAAACTGAACTGAGACAGAAAACAATCTTTTGAGAATCTACATAGTATTACAGAAGTATGTGTTCCTTCAAATGAACAAATTAGCCTGCAATATAACTTCTTGAATTTTGAGTAATTTTTCTTCCATTTTTTTAACCATTGTGGTTCTTCAAGTAGCTACTTAACTACTTATGCTTTGAATTCTTAATCTCTTTTACTGGGGATTCTCCATAAATATAGTATGCTTGCAGTACAGTAGAAATTAAACACATTTGAACAAGGACAGTAACAGAAACACAGATTACATATATATCTGTTCTCTCAGGCTTTACCCCAAGGAGTAAAGGCAGAAAAAGCATATGTGCACATGACAGCCTAAATGCAAGAGGTCAGCCTCATCTTTTTTAGCTTTATTCATTACATGAGCCCACTGACAAACTACATATTTGGGAAAGAGGGATATGCAGATATCCAGAAACAACTACAAAGAAAACACTTTTGGAAACTGAATAAACATGTATGTTCAGCTCAGTATTCATCAAGAAAGGCCATGACAACAGTTTTTAGGAAACTGTGCAGTTGAAAAATTAATTTTGTGGAGTTTTCCTTAATTACTGCAACAAAAGCAGGATTTGAACGCCTCTCCTATGAATCTGTCTGTACCCTGTACCAGGAGCTGTAGATCCCATGAGATCCACAGGAAAGCAGGCCTCGTGAGCTCTAGAGTTCCCAGCACAATCAAAGCTTCTACAGATGACAGCTGTCACTGGACACATGCACAAATCCCAAACACTGCAAGTGGAACACTGAAAAGCTGCCTGAAGGTATGCAAACTTTTTACATAGCAGAATGCATTTTAAATCCTGATCAGACCATTCGTTTACTTAGTCCAGTGCTTACACAGTAAGAACTCCATCAAAAATTGATTAGCACTCCTTTTCCACCTCTTTCCTTTAGAAGGCATGTTTCATCAAACTCAAGGGGAATGACTGCAGCTGTACCACTTACAAGGATGAAATCTGATATGGACCCTCCAAAGTGTTTAGGTGTGACAGGCCCAAGTACGTATCTTTAGCAAGCTCATAAAGCATTACCGATAACCTGTGAGTAAGTACAGCAAATAAACAAAGCAACTGAGATCCTATCAGAAGGAAAAACATAGTCCTCACAGTCATTTTTCTTGTACCAATGGCAAAGATGCTGCTCATCAGGAATAAGACATCTCTCTCATCTGAAACTTCTTGGACCAGAATGCCACATGGACGCAAACAGAGAGATAGGTCATGGTCCAAAAAGACTTTCAAAGCAAGACTAAAGCTGTGATTACTGGATTCCACATATTTACTTCTTTTATGATTGTGCAGAAGCCCTTACAGCTGTTCTGTACAGTTTATGAAAACAAAGTAATCAGAGAGATTATTTACATTTGCAACATAAATGTCTTCCTTTTTTTATGAGCCAGCTTAATACAGACATTGCTACATTCATCCCAACTGAGGCTTGGCAGGAGTTAGGAGAGGAAAGATGATGAAGAGTGAAAGTGTTTAAAGCCCAACTAATTTCTCCTCAACTCCTACTGGTTCCCCCTGCCCTCCCAGCCACTTCCAGCCCGGCACTTGTTCTCATCTCCCGACACTGCAGAGAGCTCCCTTGCAAAAGCTTCCTCAGAACAGCTGAGAGAAGATTCGGAAAAGGTTATTAAAAAAAAAACAAACAAAAATTAAGCTAAATGAACGTTCACAAGTCGGCACACTTCACTCAGCTTACACCAGGAACAATGGAGACGCGGGCAGCGGGAGGATACGGTCGCTCGGGAAGACGGGGCCGACGGGACACGGTGCCAGCCCGCCTGTCCGTCAGTCTGCAGCTCCCCGGTTCTTTGTCTGTCCGTCTGTCAGACGGTCCCACTGGCAGAGCCGGCCCCATACCGACCTCCCCGGCGAGGCCTGCTTGGCCCGGCCGCGGCCCCGCGGCTCCCGGCCCGCCGCGTTGGGGGCCGTCTCCGCCGGGGAAGCCCCGCCACCGGCCGGCAGGAGAGGAAGGGAGCTCTCGGCGCCCACCCCGCTGCGAGGAGAGGGGCGAGAGGGCGCCCGCCGCCTCTCTCCTCATTCCCCACTCCTCGGCCTCTCCGCCAGCGGGGCCAAGCGCGGCCCATGCGGGCGGGCCGCGTCGGGCCGCTCCGAGCTGAGCCGCGGCTCCCCCCTCTTTTCCTCCCCTCTCCTCTCCTCCTCCCTCCCTCCCTCTGTCTCGCTCTCCGTGCACCTCCCGCCGCCGCGGCGGGCAGGCACGAGGGCCCAGCCGAACCCGGCCACCTCCCGCTCCCGCCCGCCGGCACTTACCGGCCGCACAGCTGCGAAGAGAAGGCGGGCCGGGCCGGGGCGCGGCGACGGCGGCTCAGAGTGCCCGTGCCGCGGCCCCCGGCATGGCGGGGCGGCGGCAGGGCGCGGGGGGGAGGAAGCGGCGGCAGCGGGGGAGGGGAGGCCGAGGGGAAGTTGGCGACGGTGGCTCCTTCCTGCTCCGGCGGGGCGAGCGGCGCCTTCCCTCAGCCTCCTCCTGGCGGTGACAGCGACAGGCTGGCCAGAGCGCCGCCGCGCCGCGATGCACCATGGGAAACACGCCCGGAGGACCGGCGGGTGCTCGGGTGCGGCGGGCCGGCTGCGCGGCGAGGACAAGAGGGGAGGGAAGACGAGAGGAAAAGGGGAGTCGGGCAGCGCCGCACCGGGCCGGACCTCCCGCTAGGCCGGGACCGAGGCGGGGGGTGCCGGCGGCCCGGGTTATGCGTGGGTCAGGAGGCTGGCGCGGCCGTGGGAAGCCCCGCCGGGCGGGCCTGGGCGAGCGCTGCCCCGTGCGCGCCCTAAAGGAAGGTGGGGCGCGAAAGGCCCGCAGGCCGCGCGAGGTAGGTGGCCAGGCCTCAGGGAAGGGATGGAGCTGCCAGAGAGGCTGGGGGTGCGCCCCCCACTCCCGGTATTGTTCCAGCAGCTTCATTTCTGAGAGGTCAGGGGAACAGAACGGTCCGGTGGTGCCAGGGAGGAGGCTGAAGTAACCCCTGCCCCTTCGCATCCCGCTACTTTCGGGTGAGGCCGGGGCATTCTGAGGCAGAGGGGCGCGGGCCAGGTGGGGGCGGCACTGGGCCACAGGTGTGCTTATGGAGGGGGTGGCTGTGGAACGCCTGGGGCTTCCAGAGCCATCAGGAAGTCCCGAGATGAGTTTTCTGCGCTGTAACCTCCATAATCGTGTTCTCCATGACCCCGCACAGTAAACTCTGTACAGAATTGCCAGAGGCCAATCTTGAATCCCGTGAATTCTGTGGAGTAGCTGTCCACGCCTTTACAGCTCTTGACTGTGCATTGGTCTCTCTTGCATCTCTCAACTTCGTCGTTTCTGAAGGTTACCAACTCTTCCACGTTTCTCTAAATAAAGTCTTTAGGCCAACAACGCACTTAAACACATTCTTAACTAAATTGCTTTATGGCACTTGCTCATAATTAAGCATGTGCTTAAACTCTGTGTCGGATTAAAGCCAAAATCTTCATAAGTTCTATTGGGTAAAATTTACCAGCTTCATCAGGCTTGGCTTTATGAGTCATTCAATCAGCAGCAGCCCAAAGCTTTTTGCTACAAGCTTAGTTATTCCCAGGTTGTCCTACAGGATCACCCTGTCTCCATGACAAAGCTTGTGCCCTTCGTTCAGGTCCTGTTAGAAGTAAGATGCATCTGCTTGGTGATTCAGCTTCATGTACGGTTTCCATATCCTTTAATGAGGTGCATTAATAAGATTGTGTATCCTTATGCAAGCTATAGGTTGTGCCACCCAGTTACAGTGTAATGAGCTGTATTAAGAAGAAAATAGTAGTGACATTAGGGCCCAGTTTGAAGGTCTGCCCTGACTTTATGCAGTACATGTATTTCAAGATGATTGCATCAAGTATTCATTCTGCATAAGCAGAGGAAGGAGTTAATAAAATGTGGCTACATTTCATGCAGTCATCTACAATTTTACATAAATACAAGAAACGCTATCAACCTGCATGCCGAATAAAATGGAAAACTATTCAATTTCCAAAAATAGAGTTTTAGAAACTGAGCGAAGATGTACATTTGTGCAGCTTTGATTTTCTTTTTCTTCAAAGGCACTTAATTTGGTGACTCTATTCATTTTTACCTGTCAAAAAAAAAAAATCCTTTGCATTTCATTAAGTCTGAGTCAGGAAGCTCAGCATTAAGGCCTTATTTTAAGATATGCTGTGGAATTAAAGCTTTCTGCAGGGTGAGCACAAGTCTTTCTCCGAGGATGCATGAATTGCAACCTGCTTTTCAGAAAAATTTGTTTGGCAATTAACAGTAATATGGAGAAGAGTGTCTTGTACTTAATGCAGAAAAGTAAGACTCAGCATATTTGCATCCTCTTATTACTCTCCTACCATTCTTTTATGACCTTCATTAAGACATACTCCAATTTTCAAATGTCAGTTTGGGTTAGGGTGGAGTTTTCTGTTGTTGTTTTAAGAGGAACTGTGTGCCTACAAATTGTGTTGTTGAGCGAGAAGCCTACAGTGCTTTGTTCATCTGGAAGTCCCCCCAAGCAAGGCAGATAGTGAAGAAACACGTCAGACCTTGGACCTTTGCCACCCGGATTTTCAAATGATGACAGTTGCTCACCAGCCACAGAGCTGTGTCACTGATGTTTGTATTGGTGTTTTGACACACCTTAAGTACTGTGGTGTTTATTAATGGTTTGACATAACAAAATAGAAAAGGAATATATAAAGCCAATAGCTTGAAGAGCTTAGAAGAGCACTTGCATTTTGACCTTTTTGTTTGCTTATTTGTTTTCCTTATGCCACTCTAGGAATAGCAGACAAACGCTGATTTTCCCTAGGGAAAAAATTAAGAGTCTTTAATGTAGTCTTCCCTATCCCTTCTGAATTGTGGGAGTTACCCAGAGAAACCCTCTAAAAGGCAGTGTGTGTGGAGCATGGAGCACAGTATGGTTCAGTTTACCTTTTTTTTTTTTTTTTCTTCCTCCTAGGAGGGCTAAATAATGGAAAGTGAAAGGCATTTCTCCCTCCTCCCTCCCTTTTGTTAATTCCTTTTTCTGTATAAATCAAAAACCCAAGAAACCAGGAACACAAGTAAGCTTTATATTTTAAAAGTGTGGCTTTTGGGAAGCATTGGAGAATATATGTGTGTTTTAAAATGTCTTAAACAGGAAGTGGCTTCAGAAGTAACTGTAGAATAAGCAGAACCATCTTCATTTGACTTCCTGCGTGACAAACTGATTTGTTTCATTCATTGAGTTTATGCATCAAGCCAGTAACTTCTAGTGAAGCAGCAGCTGATCTGGAAAGATCCAGTCTGGGAATTTGAGCAAGAAAGCCACTGTTTAGGTAGGTTATTGAGATGGCCACTTAGCCCATCTCTTAAAATTATGACTTTGTATTTGTCTGAGTTCATCTAGCTTGAGCTTCTAATCATCAGTTTAACCCCAATAGCTAAAAGACTGTGTATCAGAATTTTTAAATCGGTTTTCCAGGTCTGGCTTTATCCTTTTAACTCCTTTTAAATCCTCTTCCAGCTTTTCAAAAGGTATTTTTTGCTTCCTTGAAAACAGTGTTAGTGTGGCCCAAGGTGAATCCAAGAGGAAGCATGGGGCATTACAGTGTGGAAATACACAGTTCATCTTCCCCAGCCACACTAAACCAGCCTTTTCTGTGCTTGTGGAATCATCAAACAAGTGAAGTTAGTAATGTCAGTGGAGGATGAGAGTAACTTGACTTTCAGAGTTAACAGATGTTTTCTCCCTCACCCACTCGAATTATTCTTGTAGTGGGTAAGTTAGTTTAAGCTTAAGTGTCAGCGTGTCTCACCAGCCTACAGGCTGGGCATGACCTGAAATATGGCCTGGAAACCCTTTGAGAAAAATCGTAACTACATAAAGGAACAGTAATCATCATTAGGACTAAACCCAGGATGAAGAGCAAGAAGTAAATATAAATGGCTTGTTGTCACAAAAGTGAAGGTAAACACCACTTAGTCCTCATCACAGATTTAGGTCTTGTTCCCTGTTCAGCAACACAGCCAAGCACACGTCTAACTTAAAAAATGCAAATATCTCATTAAATTAAATGGAGCTATCAGATACCGAATCAGAAGGAAAACTGAATGCCTTCTCCAATTTCTCCCCTTCATCCTTGGACCACTAAGATCACTGTAGGCCTGGTTAATACTAGTATGTGCCAGTGATAAAATGAATGGTGCTTCAGAAATGCCTTGATGAATGCCTGACATTTCAACAGTGGATGCAGTTAGGGAATGATTACTACTGAAAGCTAAAAGAAAATCCATCTTTTTTTTTTTTTTTTCATTCAAGTATTTCATCAAGGCTTTAACTAGCACAAGTATTCAATGCAGAAAATTAAATTAGTCCATTGTCTGAGCATCTACTCACTTTGTCTGTAAATTGTTCCTCTTCATTTCAGCATCCCTGATTGAATTTTTATTTTAATTGTATTTTTTATAGCAGACTTTCAATTCATGATCCCACATAAGCCTGACTCAATTGAGTCTGCGTTGCCCTATGTTGCTAGCAGATCAGGAATCAATGGTAATGCTGTCAGTAGTTGTACGCTATGCATGTCCTAACATTAACTAATGCAGAGAAATGTGATGGTACTGTAGGTCTCAAAATACCTGTACATGTGATGTTTGTAAACAAAAATAATTAATTATGAAAAATATTGGTCAGAATGAGAGTGGGCATGCACCTGGCTCTTTAACTTGTTCCTGAAATCTTTCTGTTCCCAAATCTGTTTAGAGGAAAAATCTGTTCCCCTTCCACCTGAGCCCTGAAGAAGTCTTCACATCAGTTTTTAATGCCACAAACACACCTGACTTGACTTGTTCATTTATTTGACAATAATACAGAAGCTTAAAATGCTTTAAAACTTAAGATGAAGACATCACAGAAATACCAGAGAAAATGAAAAGTAATGGTTTGATGAGAGATACTCCTGTCTGAAAAACAAAGAAAGGTAGCAAGCCAACATCAGTCAAGATGGTTTCATGTAGACACAAGACATTCAGGTAATCTCTAATATGTTTGACTTGGCTGCACATGGCATTCCTGTAAAATTAGCATTATAAATCTCAAGGTTAAAAGAAAAGAGGATGTTTAATATTCCATGCTGAGATGCCTAATAGGCACAAAAAGCAACAAAAATGATGATAATGTAGTACTTTGCCTAACATAAATTGTCAAATGTCACAATAAGGTACAATTTAGAGAACCAATTTCTCTGCCTTAAAACACAAGTTATAAACAGAGCAGAAAACTGTCTACTCTTAACTTATATTAGCTGTCTACATAAGACATTTAAGTCAAATTAACTTCAGATGGGAAAGTAAGAGGGCCTTAAACTCCAGTATGAACATTTTAGGATTAAACCGTTCAGAATTAACTGTAAAGGAAACTGGGGATATTTTATCTGTAAAAGAGCATCCACACAGAGATTTGGTGGACTTTAATTAATGGAATTTAATGTCACACCTTTACTTAATTTATCTTAATCTTTCCCAGGTGCCCCACTGCAGACAAGTTCTTTAGTTTGAAGTATTATGGTGGATCTAATTTGAAAGATAGCAGTAGCTGAAGCGTTAGCTAAAGGCTTGCCCATATGGGAAAGTTAGTCAGTGCAGAGGAACCCAGCTACTTAGTATCTGCTTTGTGTCAATAGCCTTTAGTTTACATTAAAGTGTTGTAGGCTGCATCACACCACCTGACATGCACTGAGAGTTTACGCAGAGCAACTACTCTTTTAAATTCAGATTCACACCTCTTCACAAGTCTAAGATTTACCCAGTTAAAGCAAGACTCAAGATTCAAAGAGCAGGTAGGAGACCAGATTGTGATAATGATGGGAGATTGATACTTATTAACCCAAAGTTCAAAGTTGAAACAGGAAAACAAAACAAGCCAAGCCTGTTGGAGATAACATGGAAACTCCTGAAAACAATGAAACCCAAGAGGTTGTACCTTCCCAGGGTGACAAGGATGAAGCTGTTATTCTAAAAGGCATGTTTCCATGCATTATTTGAGCCAGCAGGAAAGCCAACGGAGTATAGAAATCTAAATCTATGAAAACCAGTAAAAAGAAAAATCTCAAATTTCAGTTGGCAGTGATGAAAGGGAAAATGAGAAGGGCACAAATGGACCTTGAATATGAAAATGGGAATGATTCTCAAAATGAAGAAGTAAAAAAGCCAAAAAAGGTTGAATTAGAACTTACAAATTGCTCAACACAGCAAAAAAGGAAGAGTATAGGGTTTTGCAGTCTCATAATAAAAAACACCATATAGTTTCTCTCCCTTTACTGGTCTCTGGTAGTACTCTCAAAAATAGCATCAGAACAATAAGGAAATGCTGGAACAAGGAGGCTATTAACCATTCTCCAAATCACATAGAGCATATCCATGACTGTCAGAAGCTGGAACAATAGGACTGCCAGCAAAGCTATGGAGCCATACATCTTGACCTGAAAATCAGTCAGAATGGTCTTTCAAAGCATTTGAAAGATTGTGTTATGGCAAGGTTTTGTAAATGAAAAATCAGATCTCACTAATCTCTTAGAATTATTGATTGTATCAGTAAAGTAAGAATATAGAAAAAAAACTAAGCTTATTTTGTCTTCCAGAATATATTTGACAATTTACAGTGTCAGAATTTGTCCAGGAGAGAGAAGGCAGAGAGAAGAGTTAGGTGGTCACTTTTCATCAGGGCATCAAGTTAACAACAAAGGCCTCGGCCTTCCCTCCTAAACCAATTTGTTGTTACAGTACAGATTGGGAAAAGACAAATGCTGAACTGGGATATGATAGATACAAAACATAGGTATGAATTTATGAAATTAACCAGGCCCCAGAGGGGACAAAAGGAAACTTCAGAGACCTTTAAAAAGCTAGATGAATGAACAATGTAATTGCCAAAGAACTTCATTATATCTGCATTAAATTATGCATTTAGGAGAACAGGCAAACTGCTAAGATACCCTACAAGTGAAAAATGGCTAAGGAACAGCTTCAGATGGGAGGTTCTTGTCAGGGAAAATCAAGAAGGTAGAGCTGCTGATAAGTAATTTTCTCAGGTGCCTTTCTCATATAACGAGAAATGGACTAGAAATTTCTCTAAGGCCAATGCCAGCTAATTATTAAAACCTCCTTGGAAGTAGTTATGACTTGACTTTTCTTTCAGAATACAAGGATGCACTGAATGGAATTGCTTAGGACTTGCACCAGACTGTTCAATGGTTTAACTGGAGAATGACGACTGGTAAATTTTCAGATTGCACCAATCTGGAGATGGCTGCAAGATCTGCCAGGGTCCAGGTTTAGATTCAGCCTCTTCCTGATAGTATAGGAGTAAGGTGGAGAAGATGGAGCTCAGCTCAGTAAGGACAGAGAAAAGGAGCTGCCCTTAATCTACAGCAGAGCTACAGGACAGCAGTATTTCAGAAGATGGTTTAGTAGGGGAGTATGGCTGTTCATGAGCTATACATGAACTTACCTGCACACCATCCTGTTACGTATGAACTGGCTTATACCTCTTAAGACACAAAGGGATCATTTCCATTCAGCCTATACAGTGTTGTTTTCAGCTAGAGGCATTATGTCTGGTTTGGGGCATGAAACTCAGGAAAGACATGGCCCAGTCAGAAAGGACAGTAAGAATGATAAGAGATCTAGAACACATGACCAAAACACCTAGGTGAACTGCAGTTGTTCCGAAGGAGAATGCTAAAGGGGAAACGTGAGAAGAGTCTTCTAATATGTAACAGGCCATTGCAGAGACAAGTGGAAAAAGCTTCCCCTATCCATGGGAGCTACATAAATTGCAAATTGCAGCAAGGAAGCTTCAGGTTAGGTATTTTTCTAATAGCAAAGGTCACAAAACACTGTAATGGCCTATAGGTCTTTAGGAACAGATTGGACAAATATATAGGGAATGCTTTAGGAAGTAACCTAGATCATTGTCTTTGCCCCCAGGTGCCACCCAGCCTTGTTTGCTGTTGTGCAACAGAAAACTTAACAACTCCATCCTTTCAGTGTGCAGATAAAATAGGATGAAGAAAACAAAAAGACAGACTATCTTGACACAGATCTGTGGTACAACCTCAAGCAGACTGCTGTGGTAGAGCCATCTACAGCCATCTCAAAGAGACTGGGAACTTCAGAGAATTCAAAGAAAAGCAACAAGTAGGATCAAGAGCATGGCAATTCATGAAAGATTGAAAAGATTTGGATTATTATCTTCAGAGAAAAACAGTGGAGAGACAATAAAAGTACATGAAGTCATGTCTGGTACAGACTGATCAGGAGGTTCTCTTTTTCCTGTCTCGTACTGTAGAATAAAGGGACTTTCTGTGAACTATCAAACTAAAGGTAGGATATTTAAAACTGAAAAATAAAAACTAATAAAAAAAAAAAGAAAACCACAACACCAAAGGAAGTACACAACAAGAGACTGAAGTGGAGAACTTCTCTCCTATGGTACAGTCATAGCATTGATACTAAACCCAAAAGGATTCAGAAAGAAAATGTCTTACCAACATAGGTTCATGAAACACCATCAACTCTGTGAAAAAAGTCTGGGTCAACTTGAGTGACATCAGCACTTTGCACCACCCTCTGCTCTCCCCCATGGGCCCTTCATGGTTGCACTCCATCCCTCTACAGCTGTTCCAGAGAGAAGCAACATGAGTCCCTGAAGGAGGATACTCAGCCTTCTGCCACCACCTGCAGTGCTCCTGCCAGTGTGAAGACCAAGGCAAGAGCCACCAAACCCATCTCGGCCAGCAGCCCTCTAAACTACAGGGAAGTCCCACCACAAACCCAGCTTAGCTGCTTGCTGTCGCAGAACAGGCATGCAATAGGGGAAAGCGGACAAAAAGCCAAAGTTTCAGATTATTGCTGTTTTAAAAGACAGCAAAGGATACAAAAAGAAGGACTGCTTGTTTCTGAAGAGGCCACTGTGCATCCAAGTAGGCTGGGGACTGGCTCATTTGCACATTGCTGAAAGAACAGGATAGGTCTGATCCAAGTCCTTTCTGTCTTGGATATCTGGCAGTATCCTGAGCCAAAAAAATCGCTTTGCCCCAAACAGGCTTCATAAAATCATGCCCTTGTCATCCTACAAAAACTGATCTGCTGCACCAGGGAGGTGCATCAAGCTGTTTCTGTATGTCTGGTTTATCCAGTAACAAACAGTGACAAACATTGTACCTATAAGCAGAACAGCAAAGGTCTTCATTGCAAAGTCTTACCCAAAGTTATCTTAAATATATTTAGTACTGAATAACCATTAGATTTTCAATTATTTATGCATTTCAGCTAGTGCATATGAAGAACTGAACTTGAAAGGTAATCAGTTTAAGGATGCATGCCAGACACATGCCAGAAATTTGGCCAGAAATTTGTTTAAAACACAAAGCAAACATCAAGAGATCATTTTCTGGGGAAGAATGTGGTGCTGTGTGCAGGGATTAAGAAAAATGTGGCCTTTGTAATGCTGATACTTCACAGTATTTGACATGAGGACAAGCATCCTTCCTCAGCTTCTCTCAATGGGTCCAGTTTGGTGAGGAAGAGATGCTTCGTGTGGTATGATCTCTCCATAGATGACCTGGTTATCAGCAGCAGGGTTTTTTTGACATGAGAGCTAGCCATGTAACACCACCAGGCTACTTTCAGCTAACAGCACTGATGTGATTTTCAAATTGTACATGACTTCCAAGTAGCTTGACAGAAGAGCACCATTTCTCCTGGTCTAGAGCTTACAGGCTGTAGAGCATCACAGCTGGCATGGCATTTGTGAAGTCCCTTTCACACTGACATAAGCCTCCAGAAGACTTCATTGAGGAATAAGGAGAACTAACCGTGTCGTGCAGGCAAGACCCTGAAGGAAGACAGCACATCCTCACATTTTGTGCCCCAGCAGATTCAGAAAGCCTGGGAGGTTGGTCAGGAAGCAGACCCATACAACACCAACTCAGAAAGCCTCCAGAACAGCAATTACTGCCTGCTTGGGAAATCCAGGGAGCTTGGCTAAGCCTTAAGGACAACCTAAAATGAAAGTGATCAGAACAACATCAGAACGGTTGACTGTGGGCTGGGGACATCCCAGGCGATAAAGGCTGTTTGGCAGTTGCTGCTTTCCATCTGCAAAGCAGATGAGACTTCAATGCTAAGGATAATTTAAAAGTCAAATAAATGATTTAAAATGGCTTGTAATAAATAAAACCATGTTTCTTTTAAAGTAAACTGCCCTTGTTTGCTGGCTGGATGCTTGCACACCAAGCCAGACAAGCAGATGAAGAAAAACTGGTCCCTGGGAGCAAGAGGAGGCTCTTATCCAGCCTGAGAGGAGCTGCAGTAAATGATGGAAGAAACATCCCATCAGTGCTTCAAAGGATGAGTGGGAAAGGAGCTGGTGAGTGAATGAAAGCATGTAACTGGAGAGGACTGGATCTCTCTGTGGGTCAAAGCAGTGGGGGAAGGCTTGTCCAAGACCAGAAGCAGCTTGCCTTTCCTGCAGCCCCTCCAATGAGCTGATGAGCATTGTGGAGCTTCAGGTGGTTGTGCAGTTGGTCCTAACTGCTGGACAAAATTAACTCTCAGTTTTCAGAAGCCAGAGGCACAGAGGAAATCGACCCTGATAAAATACCTAGCAGATAAGCTTGTCAAAAATAAATAAATAGGGGCAGGAGATTCTGGGTCACTCATTGACTACGAAAGGGAAAACCCAGCAAGGTGACCCAAAATCCATACATCTCCAGGGGAAAAAATTAGCTTTTTTTTAGGAAAGAGAAAAATCAACATATTATCAAAGACTCCTTATCAACACCAGTAGATGCAAGCTGACAAGGTGAAATCAATACCACCTATTGGAATAGTTAGGCATGAAAAAAAGCTACGGCTTCCTTTGAAAAATATGTATTTAGATGTTGATCAAGGATACTTTCATTTTGTCAGCTTGGCCATTTTTGATCACCTCACTTAGCATACTGAAGTAAAGACATGATAGTCGATATCATTCCTAATTGCATGTGAGGTGGCAATATTTTGCAGATTGGTTCCTGCTTGGGAAATGTGTCTGTTTGTAGTACAGCCCACTTATGTGCTAAAATGGCCGCTTTTTCCTCACAGTTTACAGAGACGTTTACAAAGCTGGAGCTGTCAAAAAAGAAAACATCTTGTGCTATAGCTGTGCATACTGATGAGTAGTCTTAATGGTGGTGAATTTTTCATGTAAAAATCAGTAAGTCAGTGTCCTTAGGAAGGAAGAAAACCACGTCGTATTTAGTGCCAAAGTAGAGAATTGAAACCATTTGGGAGAGATGGTGAAAAAAAACCACCACAAAACAGATTAAAAACAACCCCAAAAATCCACACAAAGCAAGTTCAAATAATCACTTTTCTCTTAGCTAGAATGTGTTATTGATGTAAGTTATGTTGGTAATCCAAGTTATCTGAATCACAAGTAAAGAACTAGAAGAGTAGGGTATAGCACTGAGTGAGGCAGCATGAAAATATTAAATGCTAAAATAGCAAACGGACTGGGTCAAAACAGAAAGAGGATGTCACTGTGTCTTGACCACAGAAACATTGACCATAGACATGTAAAATGGTCAATATTGCAGCTTCAAATTTTAGTCCAGAGAAAGATGATTTTCATAACAACTTGGAGCTATAAGCACACGTCGTTTGAAACTAAAATAGAAGGCAGAAAAGGCTCAATAATTGCACTTGACCTTGCAGGAGCTGTATCCTGAAGCCAGTGATGAACACCAGCCACCCACAGTTACATCAGGTCAAAATTCCTACAAGGGGGCAGCTCAAGGTCATACAGCCCTTTAAAACACAACAGAGAGCAAAAAACCCCAACACAGAGTTGTCTGTCCATCCTCAAGTCTGTTGTTAGATGTAACAACACAACCACCAACAGGAATATGATGTTCCTGATCTCTGATGCTGAACTTGCACATCCTCTTGCCATTCCATGTAATTTGTCTGGTATTTTAGGTACAGCTAAATTGACAAATGAAGGAACATTAACCTGAAATCAGGCACTGCAGCCAGGGAACCTGGGGATGAAAGAGGGAGAGCAGGGAGCTGCTGTGATCCTTCCCTGTGGTGTGCCTGACCCTGACAAGGAGCTGCTAGTAAAAGCACCACTTTGCACGGTCAGGCTGTCCCTTTGTGTTTGCATAGTCTCCAGTGAGGATCGTGGTTTCGGTGTCCAGAAAGAGAAACCAACTTCTTTGTACAGTGCAAGTTTTTTTCACATGTATAGTAAAGCCTGTAGTAGCAAAACATCCACAACACAGAGCACACACCTAAATGAATTAGCAAGTTTTTGTGATTCGTCTTAAATCAGTTGTTCCCTTTTCCTCTTAGTAGGTCTTAAGTTTAAAGAAATTTGCATCAGAGTGTGAAAAAGAAATCTCAATCACCTGCTAGAAAATGAGATGCTGGTCATTAAACATTGCACTTAATTTAATTGTCATCACGTTGGGGTAAGAGCAGTGATGCTGGTGCAAATTGCAGTTGACTTGTTCACAGAGTACTCAAACTACACAAAATGTCCCCATTTGATCCCAGAGCCACTGATGCAGCAGCCAAGCCTTGAAACCTACTCACAAGCCCTGTCTGAGGAGCAGCATCCCTGGCACCAACTTCAGAACACCACAGCAGCTGCTGTCTCCTGTATGTTGCCTGACTGCACTGTGCCCTGCAACCCCCTGTGTCATGCTGCCTCCCCACCTCCATGGGTATCCAGCAGTCTCACCAAGATCCCCTACAAGGCATCATTCCTATAGCCTCCACACAGACTGGCACTCCCTTGTGCTGATAGCTGTGGGTCCTGGCTACCCCTAGCCTCTACCCAATACCCTAAAACCCTTAAATGACTCTTTAAACTGCTTCCTCCCAGAGGCCACATCACAGCCCAGAAGAAGCTACCAGTAACCCAGGTTTATTCCCCAGGGACCTTTTCCAACTTGGGAAAGGTAGGATAAAATACTGCCCACTGTCACATCACTAACCACACTAAATTGTACCTAAGTTTTATTCTAGGTCCTTTATAAGACTCACTGTGTTTGCAATTAACAAAAAATACGAATAGCCAGGGTACAGCAAACCTGGCACCAGGAAAACAGGACCATGCTGGCTGCAGCACCCCCTCTGTGGTATGAAATAAAGGGTTACTGAGGGTGAGGATGAAGAGGAAGCTGCAGCCAGGAGCTGGAGGAGTAAATCTGGCATCATCTGGCAAGTAATAAGAAGAGGCAGTAAGAAAAGCAGAGGAGGTGAGGGAGAGCAAAGTGGGAGCCAACCCACAGGCACCTTTTGGAGACGTCACACGTCTGTCAAGCAGCTGCCCTCCAGCCCCTGCTGGACACAGTATTCTCCCAGCCAGCAACAGTGGCGGTCCCCGTTC